TCAGTGTACGATCGTATGACATACCTGCTCATTCGTGCTTCTTGTTATGTGACTAATCTGTTCGCAGCTGAAAAGGCACTCATGTCGCTACCTAGTCCACTGACTGCCTCAGACGAGTGGATAAAGCCCCGAGAAACCACCGTCGAAGTCGTGCGCGTCACTGCAGGCTTGCATCGACAAGTTTGGGTCAGCGGAACCAGTCTCTACGTCGATGTTCATATCGCCAACAACAGTCGCAAGCTAGTCAAAAAGATTGAGCTTCAATTGGAAAGGGACATACTCTGCTACAAACACGTCTGTTATGCGAGCTTGACATACTATCTTGTCATGATGCTGATGAGAGTGCTTTTTAGGTTGCTGCGGCTACGATGGAGAAGTCTGCGGGTCAGGCTCGCATCTTTGACAGCAACGAGCGGTCTATCCTCAGTAAAGCAGTCGTCAAGCATGGTTGTGCCGGCTGGAACGGTGTATCTGCACAACAGACTCATATCAGGACATGTGATCTCGAAATACCCCGTGGCCACGGTACGGTGAAATGTGGTATGTACATTGGCACGAAGTCGTGTACTTGGTTCCTAACCAAGGCAGGCAAATACTTTGAAGTCAGATACTTCTTGAATGTCATTGTAGCCAGCGGTCACACGTCAGTATTGCCGCCACTCTCACCGATCAAGCTGACTCCCTGCAGAAAGCTCGTCACCGTGCAACTACCAATCGTACTCATCCACATGGTGTGTCTCAATATCACTCTCCTCCGCATCCACTAATCACCACACCTTCAGAATTCTCTTGACGTAGTCCCTAACTCCGTCGCCCAAGTGGCCATGGCCATCGAAGAGAAGCGCACAGCCCGCCACTCTCCACCGCGCCTGGGCCGCCGTCCCTCCCAATCCGTACAAGGCCGCGCCTTTGCAGCACCGCGTATGCAATCCCTAGAACGCATGCGCGCACGCGACGAAGCCATCCAAGAACTCGGTCAAGCCCTCGAGCAAAGCCCACGTAAATATGGTCTCCGCCGCGCGAACTCCAACTTCGACTACCACACCCCACCTTCCAACCGCAAAGGCAGGATCCTAGGCGATGGCGAAGCAGCAGATCTCCAAGACCGTCTGCGCCGTGTAAGGTCAAACGACACGATTGGATCGCGACCCCCGACTCTACACCGCATTAATTCTACACGGTCGAGACGAGGCGCTGCATCAGCTTTCGGATTCCGAGAAGCAGAGGTTCGAGAGGACATTGAACTTGGGGGGCTGGGTGCATCGGGTGATGGGCCTCTGAAGGAGAGGTTGGAGAGAACTAGTGATCGGCAGTATCGGTTCAGCAAGAAGAAGAGTGTGGAGAAGTGGAAGGGTGTAGCGAATGTGGGAGTTGGGTGGTTGAAGGGGAGTGGGGTCAAGGATGAGAGGGAGAGGGAGGGATGGGTGTGATGTGCGCACTGTGGTTCCCTTGACAGACTTCCTGTACGTTGGATAGCGCGTGCGTTGCGTTGAACGATGATTACCTTTTTCTTCGGCTCTGCGATCGTCACACCATGAATGTCCAATAAGTGATCAAACATCACAGTCAACAGTAGGGGTAATGTGGTTTGATGAGGTCTGTCCTAATGACAGCCTGAATGCTTTCATATATGATACGATCATGTCTCATAGTAGTCATTAATCCCCTCTTCGTCTTCCTTATGCAATATCATACAGTATTATACATGGTGTGTCGAGGTGATCGTAGTAGGTAGGAAAGCTTACGCGATGGTGAAGCATCCTTTGCTCCAAGCTCATGACCTGCTCTTCGCGAGCTCAGACTGAGCAGTCGACGTAGGACCGCCCTTGACGCGCTCTCCACCCGTAACCTTCTTCTCTCCCTCAGTGATGTCGTGCAGCGCCTCGCTGGTGATGGGCTCCTTGGCGTGACTCTGCGCCTGCGCAGTGGGACCTCCAGGTACGGGACCATCCTCGCCTGTAAGCTTCTTCTCCGCATCGGTGATCTTGCTCAGCGTCGACGAGTCTAGCTTTCCTGATGCGTTGGAAGTGTTGGCGCCAGTGCTGTTGTTGGAAGGTGCTGAACCGGATGTGAGAGCAGACTGAGCGATGGATGTAGGACCTCCTTTCATGACCTCATCGGAACCAGTGAGGACCTTCTCGCCTTCGGTGATGTCGTGGATGACTTGTGCAGTGAGGTTCTGGCCAACGTGCTGCTGGGCTTTCGCGGTAGGGCCGCCCTTGTGTGGCTCGTCCTTGCCGGTGATCTTCTTCTCGGCAGCGGTGATCTGCGAGATGAAGTTGGAGTCGACCTGGACAGACATGATGCGTGTTGTTGTGAAAGCGCGGTGGTTGCTGAGGTCGTTGATATTGTTCTTGAGCGGCGGCCTTTGCGATGTGATGCGAGCTGTTGGTCGTGCTGCGAGGAAAACGTTGCGGTTGATACGGAGGAGTCTGGAAGCCATTGTTGCTGCTTGTTTATATGTCGATGCGATAATGAACTGGAAGGAGCAAGTGTGTGCGGTGCACAAGCTGAATATGTAGTGTGATGGAGTACTGATGTAATGCGAAATTGATATTGTCTGAGGTGTGCGCTCAGCGTGACGTTTACTATGGGGAAAGATGGATTGCAATGCGCATTTGCAACTTGTCGGTCTGCCCGTGCACCGCAAATCTCTGCATCAATGGCGACGACATCGTGCTGATGACCCTGAGATGCAGGTACCACATCTCCGATGGACGCGGCGACTGTGCGATGCGCGCGCATGATGTGGTGGAGCCATGATGTCAGCATTCTGGGGAACTACGGCCATGACGATTCGGGTGCACTAGCGGTGTGCTAACATGGCGATGCGATTTAGGGGTCCAGATGCAAACATTAGAACATCAATTACGGCGCGATCAATGCAGAAAGTAGTTGCTCAGCTACTGAAGGTCGTTTGAGTGGGCGTGGTTCACTTGGGTCTGACGTTTCGGAGATTGCGGGACTACCGGCTTTGGTGGCGCATGTCAGACCATACGAGGTTCTCGCCCGTTGCTCGACTGCAACACCATTGGATAATAGCAGGTATCGTTCCAGTCGCACATACTTGTACGGCATTTGTTACGCCTTGTATGTATACAGCCAATTACTCCGAGATGGCACTCGCGGCGATAAGACATGCGACGGTACGACCGTCAAGGCGCTGCTGCAGCAGGTGGCAGCCATATATGGATGGTTGCTGTATTGGAACTTATGTGCATAACATTAACCGCAGGATCGAAACTATCTCGTCGCTGTGTAGCTCTTGTGAATTGAACTTCCGGCTTCTTCTTACACTGCGACAATGTCATTCATCAATCCAGCAGCACCCGTGTCTCTCCTAGGTAGACATCGTATCCTCAGTCCCACGGCAGCCGTCCGGGTCTCGCCTCTTTGCCTCGGTGGCATGAGTTTCGGTGAAGCATGGAAAGCCACTCTTGGAGAATGCACTAAGGAAACGGCCTTCGCAATGCTGGATTACTTCTACGAGCAAGGCGGCAATTTCATCGACACCGCCGTCAACTACCAGTTCGGCGAGAGCGAAGAGTGGATTGGTGAGTGGATGGAAGAGCGAGGAGTCAGAGATGAGATGGTACTCGCGACCAAGTTCACCGGTATGCAGATTACCGAGAGAGAAAAGGAAGGCGGTGCGAGGTGCAAGAGTAATTATGGAGGTAACAGCGCGAAGAACATGCACACAAGTATGGAGCGTTCGCTGAAGGCACTCAGGACTACCTACGTCGATATCGTGAGTTCCTTATCCGGGCTCTGTATCCCGCTACGACTGTTGTGATTGACTGCCTCATAGTACTACGTCCACCTGTGGGACTCAACGGCCTCCATACCAGAGCTAATGAACGCACTCAACGACCTCGTATCCTCCCGTCGAGTACTCTACCTAGGCATCTCCGATACCCCCGCGTGGATCGTAGTAAAAGCCAATTGTTACGCCCGCCAACACGGTCTCCGCCAATTCTCAATCTATCAAGGCCGCTGGTCCGCCGCCGACCGTTCCTTCGAGCGCGAAATTATCCCAATGGCACTAGACGAAGGCATGGCCCTTGCACCATGGGGCGCTATTGGCGGAGGAAGCTTCAAGACGAGGGCGCAAAGAGAGAACCCAGAAGACGGCGGCAGGAAGATGAAAATGATGGTCATCGGCAACGAAGAAAAAGTCAGCAATGTGCTCGAGGGCATTGCGAACACCAAGTCTCCGATCCCGCCTATCACTTCTGTCGCTCTCGCATACGTTATGCACAAGTCACCTTACGTCTTCCCTATCGTCGGTGGTCGCAAGATTTCGCATCTAGAGGGTAACATCCAGGCTCTTGGTTTGAGTCTTACACCAGAGGAGATCCAACAAATTGATCAGGCATATGGCTTCGAAATGGGGTTTCCGCATCAGTTCCTGAATCCAGAGAATACGGCGATTATGGGACCGGAGGATAATCGATTCGCGAATAACATGGGTGTTCTGGATCATGTCAAGGGCCTGAAGCCGATTCCGCCGCATCAGGGGGCGGTAGACGAGAAGTGACTGGTCCTTCCATTGGAGCAGGCGACGTGGTGTTCGCCGGCAAGAGATTGCGTACGTTAGCCCTTAGAAACTAGGCAAGGTGAACGGGATAAGGCACACATCACAAAGCCGGAGCGCGAAGGCTTTAAAAGCTTTCCTATTATTGAGACTGAAGAGACAAGTCAGTCTGTAGCTTTATTCTTCCACCCTCGTCATCAAAGTCCGATCGCCGAACCTAGATGTCGATTGTAACTGCATCTATTCACTTTTTGTGTGTGCCAAGAAACGGAGTTGCAGCCTTCGCTTCCTCCTGCTAGTCTCGATTTGTGTGTACCTCTTCATGCACCGCTATGCTCGCCGCCTTAGCTCCAGCCTGGAACGAGTATCCTTCAACGCGGACTGTAAGTACCCACTAAGCCCAGAGTATGATTGCATCAACACTTCTCAATGTCGGGATTAACACAAAAAGAAGAAACAAGTAAAGATGTATTCTTCACTGTTACGTTCCGCCAGCCCCAACGTTCGCATAGACGACGAGGTCTGGGACATGATCTTCCCTGCCGCAAAGTCCAAGAAGAACAAACTCAAGACCAGAGAGATTGCTCAGTCCACCGACCCGATCACCGCTAAACACATCGACATCCGAGATTGGCCCTTCACAGACCGCAGGATGCTCGTATCTAAGTACAACCGAATCAAGATCTTCGTCGACGATGAGTTCATCACAACAATCTCGAAGCCACTGTTCCGCGCGACTTCGACAAAGACAAGCGAAATCCTCGCAAATGGGACAATTGTATTACCAGCAGCCGTTGATGCAGATGCAATACATCAACTCATCGATTACCTCGAGTCCGTCGTCTCCGAAATCACCCCACCCCTGCCCTTTCCACTTAGCCTACCGATAATTGTGTCCCTGAGTACATGCGCCGCCGCCGCGGCGCTCGGAACGGACAAGTACATCCATCATTTATACGCGGAGTGCGAAGACCTCCTACAAACATCACTACGAACACGTCTTCCAACATACGCAACCATGGATGTCATCACCGCATCCAAGACAACGCAGCCTTACTCACGCCTCTTCCGCATCCTGTCAACCAACCTCGCCATACGCGTTCGGAACGAGACATTTCCGCCCCATAGACGTGAGGGTAGTCGTATCAATGTCATCCCCAACCCAGAAGACTTCTGCAAGTATTGCAAGAAGAACCCTGTTCTTGTTCATGCGATTAGGATGGCGAATGAGAAGTACTCGACCCTCGAATCGAGAAAGGATAAGAACGATCCTCTTCGGGATGGGCATGTTGATTATGACCGGTGGTATGAAGGGGGTTTTGAGAAGAAGCTTGATGATGTTTATGATGAGCCTATCGAGTTTTGGACTCGTTGCATGAGGAAGTATGGAAGGTTTGGAGACTACTAGAATGTGAGAAAACTACACCGATATATATAGGCCAATAAGACTCGATATAACAAATCGAACACGACTGCCCGTCTCACTCATGCTTACCTCTACTTGTACTCCCCTTATTTCCCCTTCGCAATAGCCTCAAAAGCATACCCCCTCGCCTTCGCCGTCTCCCTCATCCTCCAACTCTCAATATACCCCTCGACCTCCTCACGCCCATTCTCCTCCCCGGGAACAGGCTCCCCCCACGTCCCCCAATACGGCACAACACCCGTCCACGTCTTCTCCACCAACGCCCTATCCGCCAAATCCTTCCTATCCTCGCTCGGCCCGCCGGTCCGTATCTTTGCGCTTGCCTGTTGCCACACAAATAATGTTAGCACGGAAAGAGGATGTGGTAGGAAAGAACACCGATATCTCTGCAAAGAGATGAAGCGACAGAGAAAGAAAGAGGAAATAACCTACACTCTCAATCCTAACCCTAAGTATACTCGTACTCTTCAACTCCGCACTACTCGGGGGCACCCTACTCTTCTCCCAACGCTCAGGCAGCATGTTATCAGTAATAGCTTTCATGGCGTACAGCGCTTCGTCGGCGTCTTCGACCAGCTCGGCGTAGCCGTAGACGATGGCGGAGCGGTAGTTGCACGAGTTGTGGAAGGGGGTTAGGGAGAGGACGAGGCCGTCGAGGAAACTGGCGGCGATGGTGATGGGGAGGCCGGGGGTGGAGGTTTCTTTTGAGGACTTGAAGATGCGGCCGGAGACGTAGCCGTGGATGTAGAGGGTTTGGGCGGTGGTGGAGGGGTCTGCGGATTGGTTCTGGGTTGTTGGGTTAGTGAGTCGTTGTCTTCACCATTTCTGTTTTCTGTCATAGGGCGGTTGACGTACCTCGTAGTTTCCTGTGCATCCCAACATAGGCAGGACCACGGGGAAAGGGTGTTCTGGGTCCACGAATGAGACGTGGAGGATTGGACAGGCGTTTACTAGACTGTGGATTGTTGCATAGTCGTACGTGCCTGGGTTTATTGGTGTGAGCATGTATCTTGAGTAGGTAGGAAGGAGAAGCAGATGAACGTACCCCGATTCGACAATCGCCCGAGTTTGTTGACGGCGGTTTTGGGGTACTCTGGTGATGCCATTATGTGATGTCTGTTGCTCGATCTTTGAAGTGACTTCGTTCTGACCGCAAGGAAAGACTGGCGAAGAGGGAGTGTTGCTGAATGCTGAAGTTGAACTGGATTGTAAAACTATGCGAGGTTCAATCAAGCTTTGTACCTTTTCCTCTAAGCTTTATATGACTCCTACTCCGTGACTCCTTCAATACTCACATATGCACAGACGTGCGACGCTCATCAGGCAAGCCATTGTACACGTCCAGAGTGTCTGGAAGGATGACGGCAGCCGGCAGGACTTGCTGGATGCGGAAGCGGGGCCGTAATCGTGTGAGTAATCATTGGTGGATGGCGTTTACACTGCGCGACTACCATACCTCGCGTACACGGTTAGGCGTGTAGGGCGTCTAGAATTGTGAGTAGCCTCATAACAGTGTACATACCGCGGAACGTTGGCTGCGGATACTTCGGGTTATCCACGGCCTGTATGAAAACCAGAGCTGCAAGTATGAGGCGCTAGTATTCCATATCCATCTATGATACTAGACAGAGTACAACATGTAGTCAAAGTAAACCTAGTCCCAATCCAATCCGGGAGAGCCTCAATGGGCGATGCAGTCCAAAAGTCCAATTCCAAAACTCCGTTCCATGCAATTCTTCTTCCGCTCTTCTTGACTCATTCTCCAATCTATCATCTGAAACTCCACGCCGTTCTCAGTCCACCGTTGACACTCTCCAACTTCAAACACTGATACGGACTGCTCTGCGGATCATAATACAACCCTTCCAGCATCCCGCTTCTCCGGTCAAGCGCCACGTAGTAGAACCCGCTGATGGTAAGCCCGCAGCCTGAGTCGTCGAATGTCGCTTGTTCGGCGTCGTTCGTTACGGAGTTGAAGAGGGGTTGTGGTGTGATTTCGACTTCGGCACGGCCAGTTTGCGCGTTGCGTACTATGCGGTAGGGCGAGGGCTGGAGTTGCGAAGTGTGCGTGGAGGTAGGAGCGGCGGGTGCGTAGTTGGAGGATCCTGTCGAGGCCCAGGGATTGGACGGTGGAGCGTCGGCGGCGAAGGAGGAGGGTATCGTGGTGGAGGGCGGGGGCTGAACGGGATCAGGGGTGCTGCGGTTCAGGCTCTTTACAAAACATCGCTCTTTCCAGCGCATGAGTATCCAGTTCTGTCCCAGGACTTCGGTGAGCCACTTCTTGCTCGTCAGGGCCCTGACCACGTCTTCGTCGCTCATCTTCTGGAATGGAGGCAATTTGCGCCAATATGTTGCGTCGTTTGCGGCGTTCGATTTGAACGATTCGGTGAGGAGGGTGTAGTTGTTGAAGTCGAGGATCTCGCCTTCGAGGTAGGTTGTGATAGAGGATGTGCGCGTGACGGACGGCGTGGCATTGCTGGGGGAGAACATGGTGTGCGGATGCGGGTGGGAAGGTACGTTATACGCTTCCATGGTTGCGGAGAGAGACATCTGCTCCCAGTCCACGTCGTGTATGGTAACCTTGACGGGCCATCGGTCTTGGTGCGGTTGTGCGTCGGGCTGAGAGTTTCGACTGGTGGAGACTTCGCTGGGATTCCATATCCACGGTCGTATGGGCGGTGGGAGTCCCGTGTGCCGGCTGTATGTGGTGCTCACGGCAGCGGGCATGGTCGTCGCATGCTGACAGCCCGAGAGTATCGCGCCCGGTGCCAGCCACGATGTCTCGGTGGGCGGCGGTATGGCGAGGGTGTTTGCGACGAAGTCTGCGTGCTGCAGGAAGAAGTCCTTGGTCAGGAAACCGGCGTCTCGCGCACGCTCCCAGCTCTCGTCGTCGTCGCGCGAGTGGCGTATGCGCGACAGGTACTTGACGGTCTGCTCCAGCATGGGCGACGTGCGGGCCTCGGAATCTCGGTGCGAAGACATCTGGCGGGCGGAGCGTTCTCGCTGGACGGTCTCGGGGAAGAGGCTGGATCGGGCGGCAAGCATGTCTCGCAGGCTGCGGTGTGAAGCGTGGCGTGGCGGTGCTTCGCTGCTGGTGGCGGCTTCCCTGGTGCGCGCTGAGAAGCGTGGATGGCGGCGCACGCCTGCCGACTGGAGGATGGCCGTCGACCTCAGCGAGCTCTCGGGCGCGCCCGGGGCCTCTGTGGCCGGCGACCAGTCATACAGGCTGTTCTGACTGGGCACGCGGTCGCCATAGTTGTTGTCGCTGAGGCGGCTGAGGCGACTCATCACGCGGCGCAAGCGGTCCCGCTGCTCCAGCTCGTCTCTCTGCCTTTCCAGCAGGCGCAATCGCTCCTGGGACCGGTCCAACCGCGCCTGGTCGCGCTCACGTGCTGCGCGGAGATAGTCGACGTGGGCGCGTTCGATGTCGTCGTCGCTGGGAATGCCTGCTTCGTCCGTCGGGGTGCCCAGCGTGGCGGCGAGGTTGAGCACGTCGTCGTTTACGGGGCTCTCGAGCTCGCGCAGGGCCGAGATGAAGGTGGGTTCCGCGTCGTCCTATTGAGCGGCTACGTCAGTCATGCACTTAGACCACGGCTATGTGACAACATGTGGACGGCAACATCTGAACGGCGGGTGCTTACAGGCGAGTTGGCGGGCGGCATTATGACCAAGCAGGCGGCGCAGCGGGCATGGCGGGACGGAGCGATGGATGAGCTGTCGCATGCAATGCACGACGTCGGATGCACGATGTCTCAAGAGCAAAGGCGTGTCCTCGGCGAAAGTGACGCGACATGTCAAACTCTTAAGCCTGAGCCATTGCCCCGAAAAACCAAAGACAACTCTGCCTGGCGACCGTCGCGGCACCTGATAGCGCACGCCATCTCGCCATGCACTTTCCCCGTTGTCCCGCTGCTGGCTTCCGCTCCGCCCTGCCAATAGTCGGCGCAGAGAGGCATGCCGCACAACTCAATGCATTCCTCGCTTGCCCCAGATTGCCCTCGTCGGTCCCGCGGGCATGGGTGGGTGGTCTGTGCTGCGACAATAACCTCAACTACCATCACATTGACGACACTGGACACTACGTAGCCTATCTCATAGCAGGCAGTCAGGTCTTGCGGCAGAACTACCTAGGTAGGCAATGATTACTTTCAACATGTACGCGCTAGTACCCCAATCAAAACTCCATCATGGCAGTCGCTCCTTCCTCTCCAACCCCTCCAACACCACCAAAATCCTTCCCACCAACTCCGCAAACTCCCCATGATCCCCCCACGTATAAGGCCCCAGCCTCGCCTTACTCGCCCTCACCAAATGCATCAACTTCCCCTTCAACTCCCTCCTCGGCTCCTCATTCGTACACATCGGAAACCTCAAATCCAAAAGCGCACTCTCCGCCGTCTCCACCATCGTCTTGCTACACCACACATGGAACCCATGCATAATCACATCCTCCAGACTCAGCGGCGCGTGCACAGTTCCTGGTGGCATAAGTAATAAATCTCCTTTCTTGAGGTAGATAGGAAAACCGGGTTTGTTTGGTGCATACTGAAGACCAGCTTGCCGTGATTCGGCCCATTCCTCGCGTTCAGAGGGGGAAAGCGACCATGTGAACCACAGTTTCGAGCCAGTCTCACACAACACACCGGTGTAGAGGCCATGTTCGTCAACATGAGGGAAAGACCATACGCCGCGTTTACCCCAGAGCGCGAAACCAGTTTTACTAGAGAGATCGCTGGGGTTCGGGTCGGAGTGGTTAGACATTCCACCGTATTCTGTCGCTTCGGATAGGATGCTGTAGTCAGCGAGATTGTCGAGCTCCCAGGGTAGGACGTTTTGACGAATGGGCCGGATGTCGAGCAGGTTTATCGGGAGGGCGGTTGGGTCGGACATGCGTTTTAGGGCGGTGGAGATGGTGAGGCGGCGGGTTATGTTTTTGGATGTGAGGTCTTGAACGTCCATGTAGGGCTCGGTTGAGGCGTGTT